CTAGTAAAATCAAATCAAAACAGACAAGATTAGCTTGTCACATGAAGGCAGGAAGAATCAAACAGAAAATCTAGTAAGTCTTGCCAATGTGAAAAACATGTAGCCCAGTTAATGTTACATATGTCTACAAAAATCAATATCTCAATTGATGGTGTACAGAAAGTCCAAAGTATTGTTGCAGAGGATTTCTAGGACTGTTTGAGGAAGATGATGTCTTACTTCAGGGCTTCCCAATCACTGAGTTGTGGACTGGTACCCGACCGTTGCTGGTTGGGAACCAGGCCACATAGCAGGACGTGGTGAGCAGTGGGAGTGAGAATTACTGCCTGAGCTTCGCCTCCTGTCAGATCAGCGACAGCATGAGATTCTCATAGGAGCGTGAGAACTGCACATGCGAGGGATATCTTGGTTGCATGCTCCTTATGAGAATCTAATGCCTGATAATCTGAGGTGAAACAGTTTCATCCCGAAACTATTCCCATACCCACTATGTCTCCATTCCCCACCCCTCCACCAACCCCTGGAAAAACCGTCTTCCACAAAATCAGTCCCTGGTGCCAAAAAGGTTGGGGACCACTGCCTTACTGGATGCCATAGGTAATTACAGTTCAGTGATAGTGGTTATCAAGATAGTAGGGCCAACACTTCTTTGTTAAATTATCTGCTCAAAATTTTTCCATTTATAATCTGGCCATCCATGCAGAGTTTTCAGAAAGTGAAGGAATATGATGGTCATCTTGACATAAGGAACTTGATCAGTGCCGTAACACTGATCAAGTGTTAGGCATCAGAGATTTGGGTCAGGTACCTGTCTCTGGCTCTTACTGCTGTCACCTGCAGCAATCACACACATGCCTGATCAAGACAGGGTCATATGAAGTTTTTGGCTCTGAAAGGTTAAGGTCAAGATGAGGAAAATTCTGGCCTAAGAAATACTGCCTAAATGGTCAGCTAAGCTATAAGGACTGAACTGAATCAGCACTGACTCCGTGACAAAAATGAGAAGCTATTTTATAAAAGCAAACCCTAATATATATATTTTACTGTTCTAACAAGAAAGGAAGGCTGCTGGGTCTGACTCGCAGACCCTGACAGAGCGACGGATGAGAAAATGCACTCTGACACAGATATCCAATGGAAGAGCGGGCCAGGGGACCAGGTCACCCACAGAAAGAGTTGTAGCAGCCACAGCCCTGACAAGCTGGTGCTGCGGGCATTTATTTAGTACAGATTTAATGACACAGGCCTTGAATCAATACACTTGTGGGTAATTAACATGGTCCCCCCTACCCCCTTTTTATCTAACCTAAGCTTTTAGGCACCAGATAAGAGAATCTGGCTGCCTTCAGCCAAATCCTTTTCTGAAGCTTTTATAAAACCTCCCCGCCTTCCAAGAAGGTTTGCATCTTTCCACAGTTTTTCCCGCCACCCTGACTGATCTCTTACAGAAGGCAAAAAAGGCTGTCAGTCAATCAATGAATCAAATATTTACTTCCTAGTTGTTCAGATAATAAATAAACGCTTATTATATTCTGATAATTAATTAACTTTCTAATACCATAATAGGTTAACTGGGGTCCTTTTATTATTATCTCAGCAACTTGCAACTAAGGATCATTAAAAGGTATATGGCAAAATGCTCAGTTTAATGCCTAATTTATGCTACACCCAATTTTAAGCCAAGAGAAGGTTAGATTTATAATGGGATAAAACACTCAAGCAACAGAAGTGGAAAAAATAAAGATTCTGAATTTCCTATCCACTAATTACTTTGTTACAACTGGAGAACTTTATGTGGATACAGGTATAAATATTTAGTAGATTTAATTCTCTTAAGAATAAATTTGTTAAAATAAAAGTTAAGAAAATATTTGATAGCTTTTCCATTTATTTTAGGTTTTAAATTGAGATAATCAGACAAATGACAGCAATTTTAGTGATTGCTGGATGATACAAACACCTGTGTAGCTAGGGCTGTACAGGAATTTTTATTTGGTTGACAGAAAACTAGAACTGAAATCAATTGCTGAATTTCAACCAATTTAAGTGAATTACTTGACCTACAAGCTATATAACCCTAAATTTATCAATGCAGCTGCCAGAAATCTATTTTCTGAATGCAACAACAGCTGGTTTTGAACAATACTGCAATACAGTAATTTTCAGTTATTCCGAAGTATTTTTCTCTTGCTAAAATTATGAACGTAATTGAGAAAATAATTTTCAGATTTTTCTGAAAGACTACTATTTTCAAAGTGAAAAACAAACTTGAATATAATTTTTAGAAATTACTTGCTTTATTTTTTTTTTTTTTTCACCTAGAACAACACATATAATGGTAGAGTGTAACCCTCACCTTCATTTTAGAAATTACCCTACAGTGCCTGCAGGCACTTCAATATGTAGATAATTTCCAAATCACCAAACATATTGCTTGAAAACTACACCCTTCTAGGAAGAATAGACAAATGGGCCAGTTAAGCCTGAGGTGAATAATACTTTAAACCTGTAAAGCTTTGTAAATAATTGAAACACTGCTCATTACTTCAAACACTGTCATCAACACACAAAATAAATACAGACAATTCCATATGAGGTTAACCCAAAAAGGACCTTAACCTTTCAGGTAAAATTAGTATCTAAAGTTCCTAGAATTGTTTTTCTTGGCAGTTAACTCAGTTTCACTGGCAAATGACTCAGTTTCTTACTCATGGATTTAACTGAGAATGTTTACAAGTTCTCAATTTACTTTGTTCCTGACTAACTTACTCTCTCTCCTGTGCTGTGCAATCTTGTGTGGGCTCTGGATCCAGACTGCCTGGATTTAGTACTGGCACCATTCCCTCCTTACAACCTAATGAGATCCTGAGAAGCACAATTGAAACTCTCTAAGTCACAAATTCTCTCTTAGAAACTGCTAACAATACTGACCATGTAGGTTGTGGATTCAGTAAACTTAGTTGACTCACAAAAAGAAGTTAAAACATGCTCAGTATACAGGAAGTGCTCAACAAATGTAGCTATTATTATTATATGTATCCTCTTGTTTGGGCAAAAGAAATGTTGCTCTTTCATGCCTAGGCCTCTTCAACGTCCTTATGTCTTCACGGTCTTGCAGTGTCAGTCTCACACTGACTCCTGTGCCTTCGCCTTTGTCTAAGAACATTCTGCCTCTCTTGCTTGTGAGCAATGTCTGCTCACACATTCAAAACCTAACCAAACAATAAAAAACTTCACATGATTCAGGCAACACCCTTCATAGCTGCTCCTCCACTCTCTTTTACACAAAACATTATAATTTTTGAATAGTCTATATTTATTTCTTCCACTATTTACTTTTACCTTTTGCAGTTTCACTTCCCTGAAACTGCTTTCTCAATAGTCACTTAACGAATCCACAGCAGTTTTTTCACAATCCTCGTATTTCTCAACCTTCCTACCACTGATGAGATCTCCTCCCTTTTTGAAACTGCTTTATTTTGCCTTCTGTGCCACTGCACTCTCCTAAATCTTCCTCCTTATTTAAGTACCACTTCTCTACCTTCTTAGCTGTTTTCTTTTCCTGTTCCTTCCATCTAAGCCTATATTCACAGGAGTTCTGTTCTCAGTCTTTCCCTACCTCTCTGCACTTTCTCCAATGGATGCACCCCTATGATTTCACTACCATAGTTAATCATTTGGTTAATCATTTAGTTAACCATTTGGTTAACTACCAAATCTCCATCTCTAGTTCTAAACACCACCCCATCATCGCTCGAGTCCTGCCTTTTCTGATTGCTGAAGACGTTCACTTGATTGTTCAACCAGCACCTCAAACTTATCTTGTCCTAAATCAAACCTACAGTTTCAGAGAAGTGAAACTGCAAAAGGTAAAAGTAAACGGTGGAAGAAATGAATACAGACTATTCGAAAATTACAATGGTTTGTGTAAAAGAGAGTGGAGGAGCAGCTATGAAGGGTGAAGACTGAATCATGTGATTCTTAATATTCATCTTAATATTTCCACTTTAATGAATTAATGTCATCATCATTCTTTGAATTGCCAAAGTCAAAATATTTGGATCTTCTTTCCTCTCTCAGCACAGTGTTCGGTGCACAAGCTCTGGATGGTGAACTTGTATCCTCATTCTTCCACTGCATGGCAGTGAACTTGAGCAAGTCACTGGGCTTCTCCAGGCTTCAGTGTGGCTTTCATAACATAGTTATGAAGTTTACATGAGAACACAGTTGTGCAGTTTACATGAGAAGATGGACGTAAGGGCACAAAGAGTTTAGCATGTGGCAAACTATGATGAGGATGACAGAAAAAGAATCTCGATGATTTGTTCACACTTTTCCCATTCCTTACATAACTCTTGTCACATCTCACATGGCCCTTAACCTATGTCATCGCAAATACATTTAAACACAGGAGGACAACCTTGGTTGTAAAGTGTTAAAGTGCCTCAAATTTTCATTAATCTCAACCAAGCCATTCCAAACCAAGACCTACAACATACATCTACTTACATATCTATGTGCTTTTCTCTCATTGTGTGCTAAATAATGCAAAGAGAATTCAGGAACTGACCTTATTTGACCCCAATTTCAAACAGCACTTTATAAGCCGTATGGTCAGAAATTAAAATCACTCTCAATTCTTGATAATACAGAGCAGGTATCAGTAACAAACTATAAATTGTTTTGTTATTACCCTAGCCAAACAACCACCTCATGGTCCCCATTTCCCCAGGAACTAAAAGAAAAGTAAAATTAATTTTGGCCCCAAAAAGATGTAATGATTATAACAATTACTGGAAAACAGTATCAGAATCATACACTGTATTACACAGTCAGTATAAGTTATTTAATGACTTTTGCTTTGTATTATCAGTGACTTTGTATCCCTGCAAGAAAGCAGAGTTAATTAAAGATTTTTATGAGTATCTATCTAAATATTTACCAAATTTGGTTAGATTTGGTGTCTGAAATTAGCAATTTTTAAAAAGAAAAAGAATTACCGCTAACGACTGTAGCTCTCTTGTTTCTTCCTCTGCTGCTGAAGCATGATACGACAGAACCTACAGGGTAGGAAAAGAAGTCCAGGTTACACAGGAGAGAACTACCAAATGTAGACTAGAACTTCAAGCTTGGAAATCTGCTAAATCTTCCTGGAGAGATAATTAGAATCCTCAGAATGCCAAATCTTGTTTGCTGCTTTCTTCAACAGTGAAAAACCCAGATTTAGATTCCATCGCTTGTTTTGGAAAACAAAAAGTTATACTCCCTACGTTTAAAGAAAACTCTTGTAACTTCCATTCTGACATTATTGCTATAACAAACACATTATTTATAAGCCAGCCTAGAAATAACTTTTGGCTCAAACTTGGCAGAAAATTTATTTTGTTTTGTTTTGTCTTTTAAGACAATATTGACCTTTAGTTATTTTTGCTTGTGTACAGAATTAAAGGGAAAATCTTTGCATAATCTGACATTTTGATGTTAATATTTGGAAAGAAAGTAGTCTAGAAGTGGCTCTCAGATGAGGGCTGTAACCATTCTAGAATTCACACAGAAAAACTGGATGCCTGGGACATAGTCATACAGATTTAAGGATCCCTTTACACTCCTACAATTCAAGAGCTGAGAAGAGAGTAGTGCTGGCCTGTAAAGCCATCCCTTGACAGTTGAGGACACTGAGGCTCAGGGAGTCTCATGATTTGGCTGTAAGCTCACACCTAGTGAGAGGACAAGGAGACTTAGGACCCAGCTTTCAATTCCTAACCTATACATGTTCCATTACTTAGTAGAGTTAAAAAATCAGGCTTATTAACTGAATTTCCATTGTCAAAAGTCATCATTTCTAAGTACAGGTTGAGCATCCCAAACCTAAAAATCTGAAATCCAAAATGCTCTAGTGAGCATTTCCTTTAGAGTGTCATGCTGCTCCTCAGAGTTTTGGATTTTGAAACATTTTTGGGTTTGAGATTTTTGGATTCGGACTGCTCAACTGTTAAGAATAATGCACATATTTCAAAAATCTGAAAAAAAAATGCAAAATACAAAACACTTCTGGTCCCAAGCATTTCATGTAAGGGCTACTCAAACTGCAAAGGGATTTTTTAAAACATTCTTTTAAACCAAAGTAGTGGTTGTATTTAAAATACCTATTGTGCTTTGAAAGCATATTTTTTCAAAGTTCACTTTTGACAGAGACTACACAGATTTACAAAAAAAAAAAAACCCAAAAGCTTAAAAATCATTGATGAAAAGGTAGTTCATTTTCAGACTTTAAATGGTGAGTAAGGTAATTCAGCAACCCAAACCAGTATTTCTTCAACCAGTCTTTAAAATTTTAAGTAATGAAAAATTTAAAGCCAAATGATACATATTTGTACCATCTTATGATTTAGAACTGTTACAATACTGCACTACATTGCATCTTTTTTGCCATTTGAACCATTAATCACTAGGAAACCTCAAGAAACTCACAACTGCTCTCTCCTGTTCATGTGAAATTGATGGGTCATGGCTATAACCTGTTGCTACTGAGACCATAGTGGTGGTTCCCCAAGAAAAGGTAAGACTGTGACCATGAATTAGACTAATATTAACAAGTGCAGTGCAACATGGATACATGAATAAAGAAATGACACAATACATTCTAAGTTAAAAAAAATTTATCACACACAAAAGATAAAAATAACATCTTACACATGGGGCATAAGGATTAACTGTTTTAATACATGTAAGCAGTAGAATACACTTGAAACATTTGATAAATTTAGTTATTTTTATTGTCATCATTGTTTTATTGTTATTAGAATGATCACAATTTCCAAGTCAAAATAATTCACTATCTTTTGAAGACCTGAGGGATTTGTGCCCTTGGCTTTTGTCCAATGGCCTCATAAAGAAAAGACCATTTTTTTCAAAGTTGTATCTATGATCATAGAAATGACTTCACATACGACCTGAAATAAAAAACTTTTTATACTAGGTAAAAGCCTAATTATCCATATAATTAACTGAAGGAGAGCTACAAAGACAGAAGTAAGTCTCAATCAGGAAAATATTCAGAGATTTTGAACAAAGTAATACAAAGTGTGGGATTGCTTCAAACTAAGCCAATGGGAGCGGAAGGGAAGTGCAGAGGAGTGAGGTGGGAATGGATGGAGTGATAATGGCCGTGGGTTGATAAGTACTGAATGGATCATGAGGACGTGAGGGCTTATTAAGCTGTTCTCTCTACTTCTGTACATATTTGAAACTTTCCATAATAAAACATTAAAAAAAAGAAATAACTTCTAATTGATAGCTTAGATTCAATTTTTCAATGAGAAACCATGGAACTGAAAAAATTAGGTTAAATATTATCTATAAAATAAACACATACACAGATATATGTATATATGTGTATATGTATATTTAAAGCTATTTGTACACATATATACATGTGTACATGTACCTAGTTGAAACTATATTTGAAATATATACTTGTGTGTATATGTGTACATATATACTTGAAACAGATGTCCACTGGTTTATAATTGAACGTCTTTTATATAATACTATAGCAAACCTATTAGTATAATATATTTGGCATAGAAAGTAAAGGGTACCATCTGGTAAATTTTATATAACATATGTCCCTCTAGCTCTTTAGGTTAGTTATGTACTTAAGAGAGATTGAGGGAAATGTTATTATATCCCAAACACTGATTTTCTCTAATTTCAACTAGATAAGAAATCTCCATGTTACATCAATTGAATAATTTCAAGGCAGTTAGTGAAACATATATAGAAAGGATTGACCCTGTTGGAGTTGGCCGGTCCTTTGTGAGAAAGAGCATTCCTCGGTCAGTCCCTGGGAGCCAGTGATTTCTTCACTCGCTACCTGCACCTTCAGTCACTTGGGGGAGCTTGGTAGTCATACAGATTCCGAGCTTCTACCCAAGACTTGCTGAATCAGAACTTTCAGAAGTAGGGTATATAAATTTGTAGTTTGAAATAGTTTCTCAGATGATTTCAGGAGTTAAAACTCTTCTTGCTTTTCGTTGATTTTATTTTTTCTTTTCCTCACTTCTAATTCTCTTAAGAGTGCCCAGGGTTTCTGTTTTTTGTTGTTGTTTGTTTGTTTGTTTTTAATTTTTTTTTCACAACTGTTCTCACAGAAAGATGGGGAGGCTCAGGCAATGGGAAAGGGACAGATAAGTGGCAGTAGTTATCTGTGTCAATGGTTATTAAAGTCAATATTGCTTTCTACAGAAAAAGCAAAGGCCTAAAGGGATAAACATCCTGAATTGTGGTTTGGTTATATGACATTTGACAAGTTTCTTAAATATTCTGAGTCTGAGTTTCTTTCACTCTTTAGTTGAGGATAATAAGGATCTCATCATCTGAATCACATAATTTTCGTGAGGACATAATGACCGAACACACACACACCATGAGTGATTATGAGGGAAAGGTCAAAGCTAAATGTCTGGCTGTCTGGAGTGAGAGGTTCCTAAACTTCACCCACCTCCAATGTGACCATTTGCTTGGCCATGGCTCTCTCCACTGCTTCATACATCTGCGTGTTCTGGATCCCCAAGCCACAAAAGATGACAAAAGCTTCCAGAAACTGTTCGTCATTTCGGTTGAAAGGCTTAACCTTGCCAGTATTCTCCTCCATCTTATTAACAAGTTGGCAAACCCCTATAACAATCCAAGAGATTGAGCAAATGTTATTGTTGATTATCATCGTTTTTGTAGACTTTAACAAACACACCCAAAGATTGTCTTATACTTTTCTCTTAGGAATGCTTAGTGTGTCAAAATAAGCAAAACACAAATATAAGCTAGAGAAGTAAACAGAATTTATAAGAAAACTAGTTTCACGTAGTTCAAAATGTACATTGCTGGCGTTCAAAAAATCCTAGAGTACTATTTTCTTCCAGACTCGGTCACGAATTTTAGATCAGTTGAGTCCCCAAAGACAGTTTGTCCTTTGGAAACTAATTGGATTTTTGTACACTTGCCAAGAGAACAATTCTGATGTACATCAGAATTTTGGGTCAAACAGATCTCCTTTCCTTACTGAGAAACCAGAAGTTTAAATACACACACACACACACAAATAGAATGCAGAAAGGAGGCAACTGACATAGGAAGTCTCAAATTTCAAATCTACGCCTCTGTATCCAGGAGAATCAAATTTGCAGAAAACTTTTGATGCTGCAAGTAAGTATGCAAATAAAAATGACTACTTAGAAATAAAAGTCAAACATGTAGTCAACATAAGTGGAACATTAGGATAAATCTAGGAACATCAACATCTTCACTGAAGTGGTTGTTCTATGAGTTTCTGAGCCTAGTGGTCTCTGTGAGGAGTGACCTCACAGAGGTCACTCTGATGACCCAGCCTACCTCTGTGTAAACAAAGTATTGTTAAAGTCCTTATCACTTCTGTCTCTGAGTATATAATAACAGACTTTCACCATGTGCCCACTGTGGGATACGCATTATGCTAAATACTTTGGTAGACACATGATCTCTAGTCTTCACAATTTATTCTGCGAGGCAGATGTGACCATCCTCATTTTACAGATGAGGAAACTGAATCTCAGAAAGGTTACATCATTTGCTCTAAGCCACTTAGCTGGTATGTGTGGGTCTAAAATTCAATCCCCAGCTCAGCCTGCCACAAGGGCCACTCTCAACTGCCATACTACCTGTCAGATCATTGCTAGCAGTGCCCTGGTTGCATCTTGCTTGCCCACACCTCTGCTCATGCTTTTCCACAGGTGTGTACTGCTCCCCACTGCCTTCCCTCCTGCCTCACCAGTTGATCCCTATACCTCCTTCACAGTGAGCTCCAGGAGGCCTCTAACTTACACATGAGGCAGGCATTTTTCTGTTCCCTTAACATGACCAGTTGGTGTATCATAGCAAATTTTATTTCTATCTCTCTTTCTAGACTGTCAGTATCTTGGGCTTAGAGTTTTATTTATTTTTTTCAGCTCCATTTCTTCAGCTGGCAAAACGCCTAGCATATAGTAGGAACTAAAAAAATGTTTTCTGAATTAATGAAAGAATGTAGAATTGCGGCTCTGACTGAACTAGTTTCCCATGAAGACTGTAATAGTCTATTATCCTTTATTTTTCCTGGAGCACAAAAGGATTTCATAGAGTCTGGAAGGTGGTTGCACATTAAGCTCCTTTACCACCATCAATGTTCACTTTCTTTACTTTTCATACTATAAATGATCTGGACTCCCCTTTTTGCTCTTTTTGTTTGTTTATCTACTTTAAACAGTAAAGATATCTATATGCTTATCTATTAGCATTAGTGCTGCAGAAGCTACTTTTCTAACAATTATTCCATAGTAAAGGGAAACTTTAAACAAGATATAATGAATTTGGACACTGCAAGTAAAAGCCATATACTAAATGGCAATCAGCATTCATTATCTTAAATGTATATATCCTGTGTGTGGAAAAAAACAAGAACAACAAAAAACAAAAACAAACCAAGGGTTATGTCCTCCAACCTTTGTGAATCCCCAAATTATAAATATGGAACTGTTTACACAGGCTTCTGTCTCCCAAATCACATTTTCTTGAGAGTCACGTTTCATGCCCTTATCCTCACATCGCAATGGAATTGCCTTTCAGTTTTACCAAAGTTTTCTCCTACTCGATAGCCTTTTTCATAAACAAGATTTTAAAAATTACTTCCTAAGAATTACTACACGTATAGCAAGAAAAGTACAACACAGAGGGGTTATGTGAATCCCAAGTAATCTGCGAGGCTTATGACCTAGCTAAGTGTCTCTCTAGTACAGTACTTCAAATCTATGCCTTGGTCAAAATTCACTGAATGAATATATTAAGAGTCGTTAAATTATACCTTTGGAATTGTTCGCAAGTCCTTTAAATGGAATGTTATGTGTAGAAATATCAAGGTTCTGCTGTAACAAATACAGCTCAGAGCAGAACAGCTAAAGTATATCCATGTTATGATCCACCATTATAGATATAGATCTATAGACACAGAGTTAAGCTCTGGGGAAAACAACAACAACAACAACAACAAATGGGTACTGAAGACAAACCATCTATCTAGGCATATAAATTAATTCTCTTTTGAAAGTGATATGAACAGCCATATTTAAATAGCATTCATGATAATCCCATTGATCTCTTTACACTCTTCAGAAAGTTTAATTATATCAAGCAAAAATACCCATGTTAAAACAAAAAGTTATCAAGAAAAAGAAGGTTTATAACAAATGGGGTTCCCTGTTTAAGAAAACTAAAAACCTGGGCACATTTACAGATAGAGTGTTCACAACTTCTTTCTTAATGATCTAAAAGAGTATGGAGTACAAAAATGAAATTTAAAACTGGAAATTTGAGATGCCACATTACTCATAAACCATACAAACTCAGAATCATTTATATTTAAAAATGAAATGTTTAATGCCAAACCAAAAATAAAAGAGAACCCTTCAGCAAAAATCCATTAATAAGTGCAATCGTAAATTAAGACAATATTCAAAAACATTAGGGGAAAACCAAGAAGTAGTGAAGTTAGACAGCAAACTATCAGTGCTACCTAATATTATAGAGTTCATAAAGTACTCAAAATGTGGTCACCACAGTAGCTCTGAGAGCTGGTAGCATTGAAAGCACCTCTGGAAATTATGCTGAAGGGACTAGATGGCTTCTAAAATTAAACAGTTATATTTTATTTTCCGTAATTACAGGGATTGGATGTTGTTACCAACCAGTCTTCCTCCTGGCTCTTTGGCAGAACAGGGGGTCAATGCTTATACCCTGCTTGCAGTCTTATGTCCTCTCTACCACCTAACATGGACTCTAAAATTAGCATCCTGCCTTATTAAAGTGAAAAATGTACCTTTATCACCTATCTTGCAAATATTTTTGTTTCTGCACTTTTCATTTGTGAATTGTCTTAATTTGGAGAGGTTTTTGCTATATAAAAGATTTAATTCTTTAAGGAGCCAAAATAATTATCCTTACAATATTCAACTATAGTGCCTTGCTTTTAAAACAGCCTTCCTCATTTTAATGTGTATATAAACCTGTATTTTCCCTAGTACTTTTATACACGTATTACATTTAATCTTATAATCCAACTTAATTTTTTTCCCCTAACTGCTATTGGAGTCTTATAACATCTGACCAGTTATCCATTCTCTGATGATATGAATTGTCACCATATACTAAATTCATATTTGTTTCAACTATTACATACTTTTCCCACAATTTAATATTTTTGAAATCAGTATGCACGTTATGATCAATAGCTTGTCATAGTAAATTGAAGTCATATTTTACTTTCTTGGAGATACATAAAGTGGTGTCTTTCATTCAAAAGTATCTTACTTAAAAATAACGAAATACACCCTACTCTGTTATATACAATAACACAATTATATATGCCAGATTGTGGGTCTACATTTAGACTTTCTGTTCTGTTTCATCAATCTTGGCATGTCTTTTAGCACCTATACCATACTTTTAATTATTTTACTTTTATATCATTTTAATTTCTGAATTAAATCTAAATTTAATTTCTGAAAGGGCAATAACCATCAGCTATAATTCTTTTTACACCTCCAGTTGTAAGTATTATCAATGTTTGTAAATGTTGATCAGGAACAACCTCCCCACTCCCATCCAAATCTCACAAGGATACATATTAAAATTGATGCAAATCTAATCTGGCGAGACTTGATATCTCATGAACTAGATTTTAATCATTTCAGAAATGTATTCACTTCTTAATGATTTTTAAGTCACGCAGAATTTTGTAGCTTTCCTCATATAGATGGCATATATTTCTGGCCAAGTTTATTCTTTGTTACCATAGTAAATGGGGTTTTTTTTTCCATTGTTTTCTAACAAATTTGTCTTGGCATATATTAAAATTATTTCTCTTTAATAATTTGATAATTAGGCTTCTTATAAAACTCCTACTAGACCAGGTACTTTCAGCTAATTCTTTTTGGGTTTTCCATTTAACAATAATATAATTTGTAAGTTATTTTATTTTGCCTCCTTTTTTTCTGTGTCTTATCTTATTTCAACCATGCCTCCTTTCTGATTGCTTTGGTTAGAATTTCCTTGGGCAATAGCTTTTTTTTTTTTAAAAAAAATAACAAATTCTTTCTCAATTACTCCCATGAACAATTCTAAAATCCTCTCAAGTTAGTATTGGTTACTACCAATTTTTATAGAAATTCTCAATTTCACCAAATGTTAATTCCTATTTGCTACATTGTATTATCAAGTATCTTTTAAAATGTCTTCAGTATCTGTAGTTACATTCCCTCGCTCATTACTAGTTGCATTTCTCTCTTAATATCCTCATTATCTGTTGGAGGTTTCTCTATTATTATTGTGTTTGCCCATTATCTCTTATTTATTTCTTCCCATTTCATAAGTTTATTTTTTCAATTTTTTCTTCTACTTTCTTTCTTCTCATGTATATATTTATTTGGGGAAGGCAGCAGAGTGAGAAAGAGAAAGGTGCTGTTTTTCTAATTTCTACGCTTGAATGCTTAGTTAAAATTTTTTCATTATTTCTTAATAATAATAAAATATTTAAAGCTACGTAATTTCCTCTGAGTATAGCTTTGACCATGTACCTTGAGTTTTTATGTTATGTTGATAGAACAATTAATTTTCTAAAATGCTATAATTTAATTATGACTTCTGATTTCTTCTTTGTCATTTAGGAGAATGCTTTTCAGGTTCTAAGTGAGTTTTTTCCTTCCAATTTATCTTTTTGTTATATATGAACAGTTTTAATGCACTGTGATCTATGAAAGTGGCCAATAATTCTGCTTTTCAGAAATGACTGACTTTGTGTTGCATATCATCAATATTTGATTTCTGACACATATTTGAGAATAATCTGTATTTTTAAATTCTGAAACATGAAAGTAAAGCTATATATGTCAATTAAATCCACTTAATTTTTATCAATTCTAATGTTTATTTTTTCCTATAATTTAACGCTGACAAGTATACTTCAGGCCCACTATGATGATCATTTTGTCCATTTCTCTGTGTATTTTTAACAGTTTTAATTTTTGTATGTCAATAATGGTATTTAGTTTATTAGCATTCATGGCAATGACATTTTCCTCTGTGAGTTTTAATTTTACTCAATGAAAGGTGATTCTTTACATTATGTTTTACCATAAATTCTACTTTGACAGAAATATTATTATCCCTATTCAATTTTTGCCCATGTTGTATAAAATGTGTCTTTACAAATGACGTATACTTCACAGGTTCTAGGAATTCCTTGGTGTTTCTGATCCACTAAAGACTACTTCTCTGTTTTCTAGTGCTACTAAAAAGTTTTCCTTATTTTTGTCTTTCTTCAGCCAATTATTAAAGCTGTCATCCTTACACTGATTTTTATTATATAGATCTTCACTTCTGTAATTCTAAACTATAATATCTTAATTCCATTTTTTTCTAATTTTCTTCCACCTATTACTGCCCTTATGCCCTACAGTCTTATTTCCTTGTGCTTATTATAACTAAGCATAATTTACAGTTCTCTGAGAAAAAACCTAGATACTTTAAGTAATACGAGCAACGTATACCATGGAAGACAATGTACAATTATAAACAAATGAACAGATAGTGATATTGCCAAGTGATAAAATTTAATATGAAAAGTAAAATGAAGTATTAGTCAAACTTAAGCTGACATAACATTAGAGTACTTATTTATGCCTTGGAATTCTACTGCAACACACAGAAGAACAGCTCATCTCTCCACACATTTACCTATTTGAAGGTCCAACCCTGAGTAATTCATTAAATAAAGCCAAAATAAATTAACAGAGTAAGCTAAGATGATGTGGCAGTGACAATCAATGATTCAAAAATTTATTGAGGCCTACTCAAAAAAATTCTGCAGGCATGCAGGTCTCCCAAATTTTATTGATAGAAAGGAACTAAAACGTGCCATTTGGAGCATCGGAATGATGTAGGTGTTTAGCCAGTTCAAGTAGGCTAACAGAACAAGTTTGAAAGTGTAAGAGACTTAGAAAATTCATTGTGGAAGTAAAAAACAGAACCTTCTTACAGTGTACATGAGAAAGGATGAAGATAGTAACCAGCTTACAAATACATATTTATTTCTCTTATTTCTCTGTCAAACAATGTGTGGTACAGCACTGTAATTTTTATTTTTATGCTTTTCTTTATTAATAAGGAGATGAAAAAGCAAGCTATTTAAAGTGGAGATTTTCTAAGCATCTGTTTTTGAAAAAAAAAAAATTTCAATGGGAATAGAACTAATTTCTGGAAAATTTATCCCAAAATTGATATGGAAAAAATAGGCATTAAAATGTCTGGTAAATATGATATGGGAAAAAGGCATATTTAGCATAATAAGTAGGGAAAATAATTAGTTAAAATAAATGAACGTTCAATGAGAAATATATTTCCTTAAAAGTATTGGAAGCAAAGTAGTGGAAACACTGTGCATTAGCCAGAGCACTAAGAAAACATCTGATAGGAAACAATACCTCAGGGAATAAATGTGATGGGACAGCAGGCCCCATAGTGGTCTAATGTCTATAATTCCAGCTAAATGTCAGTAATGGAAAAAATGAGAGGAAGGAAGATGATTACAAAAAACACATGTGTCCATCTGTCTTTCTGCATGTAACTCTATAGGGAATCTCTCTATTAGAATTACATAATAGTGGAATCTGGTCTATGACATGTAAGACAAATTATCCACAACCATGACATTTTCCATGCTGCAACTGTAGATACATAAGTATAATCCAGAAATCAAATTCTTAGTTTTGTCACTCTTGTAAAGCAGCAGGGAACACTAGAAATTTTCCCCCTTATATTTGGGATCTACTTGAGAACCTCCCTTCACCCTACACAAAATCTGACTAGAGAAATCATTTCTTTTTCCTTTCTTTTTATTTACAAGGAATTTTTCTCTCCAAAATCAACATTTGCCTACTTTTGGCTCTGTCATCAAGTAGGGTGATACAAAATACATGCCAAGAGAAATCTGATTGTGTCATTTTTTATTTTTTGCTTACTTGTCTGACACAGTGACAGGATCACAGAATGTGAATTTGAACAGATCTGAAAAATTACTAAGTTCAACTCCACAGAGGTGAGTAATGTGCCCATAAGTGTGGTTGAAGATGAGTGGCGCTAACACAGTGCTGTGAGTCCGACCCCTAGTCCAGTGCTCTTTCCATGTTGCCTAACTCGCTCTCATTTACCTTCACATAAAGTGACAAAGGGGCCTGATGCGTAACTTCCTCCAGCCACTCCTCATTCCCAGTTATTACTCCAAAGAAATGCTGCTGGGGAAAAGTGAAGATGTGACTCGACGGAGCAAGCTGCCACTCTGCCTTCCTTCCTGTGACAACTTACTAGTAAATAATGCATTCCTTCTGGAATTTAATTTCACATTTTCAAAGGCCAAAGACAGCTTGTAGTAAATCTTCATACTTATAAAAAAGCATTTTAAACAGCATAACATTTATAATACAGTTTTCCCCTTGACCTCCCTAGGAAATAAAATTTTATAACATTTACTTGGTATCATATCGTAAGGCGCCCTTGGCAGTTTTCTTTTATTGCTTATGTTAGAGATCTGATCAGTGACAATCTTTAAAAAAGATCTCACAGATTCATTAGCCTCCACTTTTTTTCTCTGAGAACTGTAGAAAAGTTGACTCAACCGCCCAGCAGAGGGTTGGTACGCTGCTTTCTAAGCAGCTTTAATGTACAATTCACCAGGGTCAGGAGTGACCCTAGAGCTTAGGCACTAGATTAGCATACTGAAGGCTGCTGGGGTGGAGTCACAGTAACTCCAGTAACTCAGTTGACAAGACTGATTTATAAAACCAGAATAGTATCAATGTTCCAAAAGAAACAGATCTGTCCCAGAAACAGAAGTACAAGCACCTGCAGCTCCAACCCATTGCCTCAAGTCCAGCTCATACAATAAGAAACAACTGTCAGGGCAACCAGTATATTTGAGAGGACATGAATAATGCATTCTCTTCCCATGAGCTAACCTACACTGGAAAAGAAAGTAATCAGTACAAGTTGGATTGCTGGGACTGGAATCAGAACAAGGGAAATCAGAGTCATAGAATGTTGAATTGTACTAAGCTGATGTATCCCTTTCACAATACAGATGCATTCTAGGCAGAGGGACTGGGAATAGGAAAGATATTACTGGCTATAACCTGATGCATCCATTGCACCTAGTGAAGGCTCACCATATGGTCAGAATACTCAGTGTACACTGATACAACTCTCCACATGCATCTCTATGTTAGGGACAAATGTTACTTTACTCTTGCACAGAACTTGGACAGTCACTTTTAATATCTGTCTTTTCTTTTTCTACTTTCATTACTGATACCTTCTGCCCCTTCTTTCTGACTAAAACTCTCATTCAATAAAATTATAGTCAAATCTTGCAACTGGAAAAGTATTCAGACTTTTAAAGTTATATTTATATATCTTAATGTTGGTCCATTAGAGTTTTAATTCTAAATTTAACCTTTAAAAAGTTAACATATTTTCTCTATTTCCAGGTTCCTAGGAGAATGTTAACAGTCCAGACCTTTTTTACTACATCTCAGAAACATCAATATGGATGACTGGCATATAAAATCCTACTTAACCTTTACATAACTGCAATACCAGGAAACAAATATGTCAATAAAAGGAAGCATCATTCAATTTTTCTGAGAATGCATTCTTCCATCATTCCTGAAGTAGAGGTTTTTCTATAATCATATTAAGAACATAAGCTCCTCAGGGCGAGGATTTCTGCTTTGTTCATTGATTTATCCCAACTGCCAAGAACAGTGAAGCGCTCAATAAATATTTATTAAATGAATAAATAAATACAACCTATAATCTAAACTACATTCTTAAAAAAGTCAACATCCAGGAAATAAGACTCTAAAACAATACACATTATCACTTGATATCTCTTATGCAGTCTACTAAATTTCAATACATCATCAATCATTCTTAAACAAAAAATTCTGCTGAAATAGGATAATAATTATAAAAGTACATCATAGTTTATAAGATATTTAACAAATGTCTGTTTGTACTTATCAATTATTTTAATTATTCTATCATTCCAATTTTTATCTGTTTTTAAACATTTTATTCTTTACATTTGAAAGAAAGAAGTATAGCTGGGAATACATTTTTAAAAATAAGTTTAGAGTATAGGTTAAAGGAAAGGCTTTACCTATAACTTTATTCTTCTTTCCATTTTTTATAGGTGTACAAAGCAAACTTCTAATGCACTGCTGGCTTACAGTTCCTGTATTTTCAGTCTAAACAAAAATAAAAAGAACAAAACAGCTAAAATGGTAAAGAGATTGATTTGTCCATTAGATGCTATAGAAATTATATGACACTTTTGAAAGCACTATATATTCAACTTTTATATTAGCTAGAGAACATTGGAAAGCAGAAAATGTATAAATTATAATAAAGTTCACATAAATGCAATATAAAGCAATGTCTTTACTTTGTTAAAAATATCGGATTTTTTTCACTTTAAACTTTCCAAGCAGCTTATAGTAATAATAAGTAAAATATAAAAATAAGTTAAAAAAAAAGAGAGAAGTAGAAGTACAGTATCTACTATACTAGTGTAGTAAATGCCCCTAATAATTTAACAAGAGGGGCAGAATCTAAATGCCACCTAAAATGCACCATGTTACAAACTTGTCCTTTAGTAATACCACTGTTGCTATTGCTATATTGCTAAAGTTCTAACAATGTCTCCAAATAACAAAATCATCCAAATAACAAAATCAAGGCAGCTGCCTCAAAGTGCAATACTTTCCTGAAAGGTGAGAGAAAATACTATAATTCAAATTTTTCAGTGTCTGAGAACCAGATATTTGTAGCTTTGAGGTCAAGAAAAAAAGACATTCATTTTCCCAGAGCTACTTACTATGACGGATTACCAATTGCATCAGTTCAAGCCACATGGAAACTAATTTTTGCAAATAAGACAAAAACTCTAGCAATATTTTCTAAGGAATGTCATTGACATTATGTAGGTAATAGCTAAATTACTTCAAAAACAGTATGGTTACTTAATCATAGATATTTAAAAAGGTGAAAAAAGTACAAAGAAAAATACCCAAGTACAGCTCTCCATAGATGTTATGATCTATTTTATTCTCCTTCCTCAGATGAGGGAAAGCACAGATCATTCCTAAACAATCAATTCTAGAGCCAGTCCTTCAGTTCAAGAATAATAACTGTAAATACAGATCTGATGGGAAAACAGCCTTCTAGCTTCAAGTCTAAAATTGGGTTACTTACTGTCCAGGGAAATCTTTTATCCTTACTGACATCTGGGATATTAAGTGGTTCCATAGTATTTTTGACATACTGAGCATACATGTAATTGATTTTGTTTGCATCATGTTCCCTGTGAAAATAACAGATATGAGTTCCCTCTGTGCAGTTAAAAAAAAAAAAGCATAGGCAAACAGTTAAATAAATGATTAAGGGAGAAAAATACCAGCCTTAAATTATAAGGCAAAATATATACTTATATGGAAAACGCAGCTTTAAATGTGTTTGACGATTCACAACTTTGTCAGTTACTATAATTTAAATGTTTTGAAAAAAAAATTCCACAATTTTCCAACAAGTTTTATAAAAGTGAATGGCCTTATTCTCATTACAAATGGGCATGGTGAGTTTTGGTGTCATTTAATGTAAATTCATATGTCCCTTCGTGTCTTATTTTCTCATCACATTATAGAATGCCAAAGGTCTAGTGCTTGTTTTACTTCCTCATTATTTGGTTTATCTATCCATCCCAATAAAACAGTATTTTACATATGTTAAGACCAAGGGAAAAATCAAACAGCTTAGAAAAAATGTTTAAAGCTCTTCTTCTCAAGTCTATTTTCTTTCTCCTTCTGTCTTTTTGTTGTGTCTTCTTTAACATCTTTCCCTTTGTTCAGTTTCCTCTCTACACAGTTTTTCTGCTTTGAGATGTTTTATGATACTTTTAAAATTAAAAATTTATCTTCCTCAAAAAATTTTTATGAACTTACAATATTTTTATCACTTATGTTCCAGTCTCTTGCTTAACAGAGTGAACATGAAAGATTAATCTGATGCCAGGGGGTACAGTGTCAGTGCAAGGGAGGGAAAACAGAATGGAACATGTTTTTTTCATCAGGAAACTCCGTATGTTCCCTTGTGGTGATGATGAATTCAGCAAAGAGGGTCAGGTTATGGAAACTTACTCCATCTATAAGGACCTGCTTATTTTAATTGTAATATCACTAAAGAAGCAGGAAAACTTAACAACAGTAGACATTTCAAGATAAAATATAGTTGGCCCTTGTACCCACAAGTCCACATCTTTGGATTCACCCAACTGCAGTATCAAAAATAAGTCAAAGAAAAAAAAAAAACCATACATTTAAACAATAGTACAACATAACAATTCTTTAAACAGCATTTACATTGTATTAGGTATTGTAGGTAATATAGAGTGGATGGCATAGGTTATAGGCAAATACTACACCATTTTATACAAGGGACTTTAGTGTCTGCAGAGTTTGGTATCTGCAGGGGTTCCTGGAACCAATTTCTCAAGGATACTGAGTGACAACGGCATACATCTCAGGAAAAATGTCCACTTGCTCTAAGTTTCCAAAGTTCCAATGTTTTGCCTATCTTCTGTCCCTCCCACCCAACCTGCCCCAGCTGCTTCTTGGGACAGTGGTTTCATATGGCGTCCTTCAGTGCTAGTGATTCCATGAAGATTCTCAAACTCTGTGGCCTTGTTCCTGGTCAAAATATTTCAGTCTTCCCTTTGTTGTACATTTTACTTTAAGTGTAATTTGGTCAAACCAAGTACTGACCATTTGTCTAGTATTATGTGTACATGAAAAAGAATGAAAAGGAAATGACAGAAGAGTGACATAAGAGTAAATGAACTTTGAATACTTCTTGAGACTAGACTGAGAGTCTGCGAAGGCATGCCAGTTATCATATACATCAGATCTAATACACTCCTGAGGTCCTACTTCACACATATTATCTGGGTGACACTCAAGAAACGGTTATATAAATGCAGGGTTTAGTTTAATAAAACAACGTTTAAAACTACAAATATTTTATAAATAGCAGCAGCCTAGAGAGAAGAAAATAAGAAGCTATAGTGAAAAGAAGAAAAATGAAAAGGTGACCACCAGGAGAAGGAAGTACATTGGAGAAGTAAGTATCCTCGTAAAATCTCTTTTAAAATGATAATTATCATATCAATAACCATTATTATTCTTATCATCATCATTATTTTAAGAGTAGGAGCCAGAAAAAAATCCAAAATGGTTAAGCAATTTGTCAGAGATCAGAAATTCAGACTTACACTAGTTAATATACAGAAGGAGAAGTAGAAAAACTATTTATAAATCAACAAATACCTGATACCTTATTTAACTCCCTGAAATTTTTAGGTTTTCCTGATGGTTACTTTAAGTGAAAACTGAGCATTAGATTTATTAAAGTTACATGATAGCATGTTTGTTTCTTACTCTATAAGAAATGTTGATAAATTTTTAGTTCCTAAACTCAATAAATACAGATTGAATACCTTAACCATCAGAGGCACCCTTAACAGCATATGGGAGACAAACTTACACAGGTCAGTAACTGTCATAGGGGCTTACAATCTAGTAGAAGACTGAAACAGAATGAATAATGTGTTTAAATTACATGGACTATTTGGGTAGGGTCTAGTGCAGAGACTGCCAGTTGTCTTTTGGTAATTCTCCTCCCCTTCTGTTTGTCTGGACATACATGGTCACCCAGAATAAAGACCACACTTCTCAGCCACCCTAGTGGCTTAGTATTGCCATCTGGCTAAGTTCTAGACAACAGGATGTAAGAGTAAATGTTTGTGATGCCTTCTAGCAACCTTCCTAAGAGACAGGTGATACCTGCTGTCTGTCCCTTCTTTCCCCGTCCCCCATCCTACAGTTTAGCATGTGGATATAATGACTGGAGCTGCATCCTTGACCCTTAAGGAAAGGGCCATGCCCTAGGGATGTAAGGTAGAAAGCCCAAAGGTGTCTTGGTCCCCAAGGCCTTTGTGGAGCAGAGCTATAGCACCAAGCCTGAGCTGGCTACCTCTGGGCTTTTACAGGAGACAGTAATAATACTGTGTTATTGTTTAAGCTATTTGTATTTTGGGTTTTCATGATCCACAGTCAAGCCTAATCCTAAGTGATACAGTGTAACAATGCAAGCACCACACATGTGGAGAAGATGGACAGGTAGCACCTAAAATGGAGTGGAATAGGGAAGAAGTAGCATTAGAGAAATGAATTCACAGCTGGCTGAGACTTTTTAAAGGAGAAACATCAGGAATGAAAGGTAGAGTATTCCAGGCAGGAAAAAACAAAACAAAACAAAACAGTATAAAACACATTGCTGACATGGAAGAATTCTATGTGTAATTGGGAAACACTAAATAGTTACAGATTGTCAAGAATAAAATGATGATTTCAGGTTGAAAATGTTAGGCTAGGACAGATAGTGAAAGATTTTGAAAGTGTAATACAAGGAATATGGATCTCATTCTTTTAATGATGGGAATATTATAGTGGCCTTTAGAATGTGCCTCAGAGCTCCAATTGCAGAAAGAGTAGCTAACCAATGTCTCAAGTTGCTGTGCTCTGGAAGCCATCACCAAGTTTGCACTGAGGTCACCTCTACCAGGGCTGGTTCCAGAGAAAAAGACTGAGCACACTAGGGACACTAAAGTAGGCCTAATCCTGGGAGGTCCAGTATTCTTCTCACAGTAAATTTCAGCTAGAGGACTTCCCAGCAGCCTTGCCAAACCTTCTGAACTGTTCAGCTGTCTAGGATACTTCTGTACAACTTTCCTTCCTTCTTTCTTCCTCTCCTTAATTCTGGGTCAGACTTTCGTGTTGGTCTGATGGCTTTCCTGGCTTCTTCCCTCTGGTTCTCACAGGGTGTTTTCTCTAATAAATTTCTGCACATTTAATCTAATCTTGGCATCTGTTTCTTGGAAGACCTGGACTAACTCACATATTTAAGGCTTTTTGTACAATGTGTATCAATGTACCATATATGAATGCATTGTTGGGATGACAGAATTAGGTACATGGAATTGGAAAAGATAAATTTCTGTGCTTTAGAATTAAATGGGAGTCACTGCAGGCTAATGTAAACCAAAGACCAAAAAAAAAAAAAAAAAAATCAAATAGACATGGAAATAATAGCTAACACTTACTAAGTACTTACTACTTGCCAGAAATTTTCTGAAGCATTTTATATACATTATCTCATTTAATTCTTACTATAATCCTACTACCACTACAGATGAAGAAACTGAGGCTTTGAGAGATTAAATAATTTACATGAAGTCTCATAGCTAGTAAGCCCACTACGTGGTGAAACTTAAATACTTACATTTAAATACAATCAGTCTAACTTTGACATTCTTCTATGCTGTATCCACAATTTTTTAAAGTAGTAGTCTTTACTTACTTAATTACACTTATATTTTCTAATATGATAATCAATAACAAGTATAAACTAATAGGTTTATTCCAAGAAAGTGACCTAAAAGGATTAATTCTATGTATTTGTCATTTTATGACACAAATGTGCATTTGTGAATGAACATGAAGTTAATTAGTATGGAATTATAGCACTAAAATACCTACTTCTCAAAATAAGAGCTAACATAAACTGCACAACATTATACTCATTCTTTTCCTTCTAATTGGTTGGCTCTTGAAGTACAAAAATTCTAAAACTTCCCACCATCTGGAAATGAGCCTCCCTTCGGAAATTCCTGGGCAACTTAACTCCCAAGAGCTTACTATGCTTTATCCCTCTTATGATATCCTTCTAATAATTATGTGTAATGTTCACCCTGAATATGTTGTTTTACATTTAACATTTCAAAACCATCTTCAGTATATTAATTTATGAAGTCATTAGTGGATTGGTTGGAAAAATCTCGAATGAGCTATGCTTTTTAATTGATAAATAATTTCCTAAAAAGAATGATTTGCTTACTGCTAACATTAAATTGCCTAGCATTTCATCAAATGGAGAGACGGCAAAGTTTGGATTGACAAAGTTTTTAATAATGAGAATCGAAGTCCTAAACTCTACCAATAATCAGTTTTAGAAACATAATAAAGAATCTGCTGGTGAAAAATAAGCATCAATATTAGTTTTGCCCTTTTTCAAAATGTTAACATTACTAAACACCATTTTAAATTCAGTTATTGCAAAATTAGGCGTGTTATCTAATTTTTATTAAAATAAAAAAACTCAGAGGCCTTTTACTGTATCACTATAACAAAAGCTAACTTTAAATGTTTCATTAACATAAGCTATTACTGTTGAAATGATTGTCATTATTGTAAAGTCAATTAATATATCAGGTAAAATGATCCATGTAAATTTGTCTCTTTTAAGGTAATCACACTGACCTATTTATCCTTTATAAGAAAAAATCTTTATTCTAAGATTGTCTTGGAATCATTAAATCAATAAGTGGAAAGATACTTTCCATTTGCCTACAGAGAGGGAATGTGGTATTTAGAAACAAATATATATATAGCAAGACATTTTTGTGTTTTTTTAAATGCATATTTACCAGTAGAGGTCACTATCACACCAATTCACTGGATTTGTCCAGCTACTGCTAAAAGAAATTACAGGGCCTGGCTGAATTTATACGAAAAAAATCAAAAGCCAATACCTAAAATACAATACACAGGGATATGCTGCTCCACAAATATTAAAAGATCATGTAGATAATTAATAATTTTGAACTTTTAATATGATTATCATACTGATTTTCCTATTGTTCCATGGAGATAAAGGTAAATATATAAACATATATATATATTTTTCTATCTATATATAGTAACTCATTATTTATGCACGCCAAAAAGTAAAATATTCAAATATTTACATGTGTCCTACCTAGAAACTTTCTAAAATCTTCTTTTCAAAAAGGAAAAAAGGTATTACAGCATCATAAAATTAAAATACTATATATTAATGTGCACATTTTCACATGTTCCAAAAGGATTCAATACTAACTAAAACAATGTCAAATCTGCTAGGAAATGCAATGGCACAGGAGCTCAGGATAGAATAGGTGTGGAGACAGGATATAATCTTCAGTGCATGATCAGCAAAGCTAAGAAGGAAATAAAGGTCAGCTATTCAATTATGACCATGTGAACCCCAATTCCAGGACATCAGAAAACTCTCTGGTTAGAGAAACCATGTTTTATCTCCCTAGACTACCCACTTCATGCCCAAGTCAGCGGTAAAGGCTTAAGGTCAGGTCTACCTTCTGAGTCAAATGAATTCCCCATCTGCCTCCAAGTTACATTCTTGCCCTTTGCTAATTCCTAAAATCCTTTAATAGGAGAAAAGGCCCTTCCTTGTACCACATTGTCAAAATAATAGTCTAGTAATGAGTTTTGATTTAAATATAAATACTTAACAAAGTAACAACTTTAAGTCACTGTGGTCAATAGTCTCTCCATCTTGATGGAGGAAGACTTAGGACTGGAAATGTGAGAAAAGACAAGAGACAATAAAATAATCTGTAGCTTGTATTTCTTAAATCAAACTGGTCATAAAATAACTATTTAGCCAATATTACATACATGTGATAAAGACAAGTAGAGAATAAGTGCTTTTACCTTGTTAACATATCAGATGATTTTTCTAATTCCTCACACTCCATGTGAAACACACTAGAAAAAGAATCCTAAAAATAGACAACACAGACTGAGAAATAAGTTTGACAAGGTAATAAAAACTATCCAGATACAGACATACATGGTATGGAATTGACAAAAGACCCCAATACTTGTAATATATTTTTACTTATTCTTGGACAAAATAGACCCAAGTACTCATTTTATGACATCCTCAAAACTGCTTCCCATTTAATTAAAATAAAAGTTTCGTTCATATAATTTCTGATTCTGTCTTGGAAGAATGATTATACCAGTACTATTTGTTTTTTCTAGGTACTGATGGATTTATTAGTTTCAAAATTTTTTATGCTTATTGAAAATTCTCAAGTTTTGGCTTTTAAGCTTAAGTACATTGATTGTTGTTAAATCCCAGGTAAAGAATCCCTTCTTAAAAAGATGTTTCATTCAGTAATACTTTATGTGATTATTAAAATAACTGTGAAAAATTTAACAACATAAATACTTCTGAAATTACATTAAAGGCGTGGTGGCTCATGCCTATAATCCCAACATTTTGGGAGGCCAAGGTGGGCAGATCACATAAGGCCAGGAGTCTGAGACCAGACTGGCCAACATGGCAAAACCCCTACTCTACTAAAAATACAAAAATTCGCTGGCTGTGGTGGCATGCCTTTGTTATCCCAACTACTGGGGAGGCTAAGGCACATGAATTTCTTGAACCTGGGAGGCTGAGGGTGCGAGCTGCGATCGTGAGATCGTGCCACTGCACTCCAGCCTGAATGATACAGCGATACTCTGTCTTGAAAATAAGAAAGAAAAAAAATTTTTTTAAAATCACATTAAAAAGCAGAACAGCACATTACACCCATGCTCTATTTATACAGAATTGGAAGAAAACAGAAAAAAAATGATAGTTTAATTTGGGGATAGAAGAAATCTGTACATTTTTTTCCTCCTCACCTTTGCTCATGCTGTTGACGTATTTTAAAACAACAAATAAATGTAATACAAATGAATATAAAGTCACCTAATTCCTTTTCTAAAACCTACAACTTAAGTGGTCAAAAAGTGAGTAAAATATCCTAATAATCATATTGTTGTGCTATACTTCCAAGTAGCACTGATCCAAATCAGTGTACTACCATAACAGGTGTTAACTGGTAGAAGTATCCATTGAGTGTGAATTAAAGTGATATTTAAGTTGTCTAAAAAAAGTAGTGCTTCACATATAACTTTCAAAAATTAAATGCAAAAAGTGGGTCATAGAGCAAAAATTACAGGTTAAGTGACATACTGCATTAAGGAATTCTGACCTGAAATTTAAAATGATGTCTACTATATTATAATCACCTTTATATTAAAGATTTTATAACTGATTGAAAAATATGTAATAGTATCTATGAAAATACTGATTACCTTTTAGCCTAGTGAGTTCTCATTTGATATTAATGAGAATTTTGTATTAAACAATGCATTCATCTGACATATATACATATCCCAAATGATTGAGATGTTGGCTCATACGGTATAGTCCTTATATCTAAATCAACTAAAATTTCTTAATATAAATTAAATACTGAATACCTTTTATTTTTCTACTTCCCCCCAAAACGTAACTTCAGATATCATACGTAGATTATAACTAACCTATACAAGTGGTAGTCCACACTCTCTTTCCCATTAATCCACAAATGAACAGCCTATTCTTAGGGACTAAAGGAAAAAGAAAACAAACGACTACAGCAAAAAGAAATATCCCAGAAACAGTGGTTCATAAGTTGAGAAGGGAGAGAAAGTGCATAAAGAAAAACTGCCTTAGGCCAGGGGCCCTGATTCTACTGGCAAACTCAAGATGGCCGGCCTGGTGTAACTAGCACTCTGTGACAACACTCTGTCTTTTCCCAGACACCTGAAAATGTTTCTTCACATTACAAAATCAATGGACTGAAATCTACCAGTTAGAAGAGTTTAGTGGTTTTCCATTGTTGGTAAAAATATGGGACTTATGGGTACCATTAGTAATACTCCTACTGGGCTAAGCCTTTTGGTTTCTATACAATTTCTGGCAAGAAGAAATTTTTATACCCAACCCATTCAGAATGAGGAGTCTGGTCTGCCTGTTCATAGCAACCAGGGCACCAGTATTCCTGACCGTGAAAAGTCAGCACACTGTAATGACAATATCTTTCTCCACGAAGATAGTGTAGTGTGGCCATTGATAGAAGCAGAAACACACATTCCCATGGTAATTATTTTCAGGAGGGTGGGATGGGGACATGAACAGAGGTAAAAAAGAGTGATGAGGCACCCTCCACCCTCCACCCCTACCTGTCTTCAACCAGAACAGCTCATACCCTGATTGGTTTTATATACATACTCATATGAATTTGGGTTTGAGAGAGGGTTCTAAGACCAAAATGAGGTTTAAAAGCAGTGCTTACAGAAATATAAGTTTCTGTCTTTCTAAAAATAAAGAAGTCATACTCTGTACTCACGGAGCAATCTTCATCCACTATGAAAATGGTGCATTTCTGCACTTGCATAAAAGAGATAATAGTGGCAGCTATTTTCTTCAGAATTACTTCTAATGATTGTTGTTCTTCAAAAATTAAACTAGCAAGGTCAAGCAGCACCTAGACAAAAATATTAAGAGCTTATTATTTAGCAATTATGTGTAATTATTAAAGCACAATTATTTATATGGGTTATAAATTGTTTAACCTAGCAGGTTATAATCAAGTCTGCATTCAAATATTAAATATGTCTCCACTTATTAATAAAATCCTCCATTGACTGTTAATATAGTTAATAGAGTTGTTAAGATCACAGGCTCTGAAGCCAGAGTAATCAGTTTTTAATCCTGACTTCCTTTCCTGCTAGCTTTGAGACTGAGGGCAAATTTCTTGAACATGGGGATATTAATAACATTAAACTCACAGGGCTTTTAGGAGGATTAAGATAATATTTATAAAGTATTTTGAACACTATCTGGTACATAAAATACACTGTTAATGTTGTTCCAAACTTTTTAGATCAACATTTGTCAACATTATCAATATTTTTACAGAGTACAGTAAATATTACCCATCAAAGTAAACAAAGTCTTAAGAATTTCCTTTGTGTTTTTTTCTGGTAGATTTCTCTTTCTTCTGAACCTCATAAGTATTACTAAAAACTCAGTGGAGGTGATGCTATCCTAGCTGAGGTCTGAAAGATGAGTAAGAATTATTCAGGTGAAATAGGGAAGAGAAATATTTCAGCCAAAAATAATAGAATTGAGAGAAAGTAGCATACTGAAAGTTTTGATCAGGTTTTATAAGAGCATAGACTATAAAGAGAACTGGGAGATGAGATTGCAACATTAAGCAGAAAAAGAACCTGAAAAGCACTGTATGTCTTTTGAAGCAGTTTAAACTGTGATGCACTGCAGGAAAGAAGTGGTGTGATCACATCTGTTTGTAAAAATAGAGACTGGATGAAACGATGGCAACAATAGAACAGGGAGAACACTGCAGTTAAAGGCAATGGAAGGTTGCATATCTTATTAACACAGATTATAAACAGAGAAAATAGAGGGTAGAGAAGATGAATTATCAAAGAAATAATGAAAAAAGAATTACACATAAGTAAACAGTTTGCTTAAACCTCCAAAGAGATGAACCAACATACACATGCCAGTATGATGAATGAAAAAAGAATAATATTGTGAAATTAAGTTACAAAAGCAAATATAAATAATCTGAAAAGTTTATAGACACATAGACAAAATAGATAAATATAATAATATAAAAATACAAAATATGTATTATATATTATGTTATATATTTATATTGCAGATAATAAATATAAAATAGTTATAAAAGAGCCAAGAATAAGGACAACATGGATGCTAGTTAGGAGACAAAGCACTACTTCTAAATTCTGAGAAATTGATTTTTCAATTTAGAATTTTATACCCAGCCAAAGTGGCAGGATGGTACAATACATATTTTCATACATGCAAGGACTCAGAAAGTTTACTTTACCAATACCCTTTCTTAAGTAGTTAATTGAGAATGTGCTGCAACAAAATAAGAAAATGAGAAAGAAGTAGGGCATCCAAAAGACAGTGGAATCTTTCTAAGAAAGCAATGAAGAAAAGTTCTATGATGACACTAGTGTAGCAGGCATAGGGCTAAATAGTTTAGCTTGGAAGAAGAAAGGTTGGAGAACCTCAGTTTGGACCTCTCCAAATAGAAGCAGAAGGGGAATTCAACAGGATGCCTAATATAATGGAGTTTGGGGAGGGGTGGAAACAAGAACATGAGGCTATACTAGAGCAAAGAGTTCAAGGAAAAAAATTCAGAAACATCAGGAAAAATGAAAAGTTCTATAACAAAGGTAATATGAACAACATTTACATAATTATAGTGCTTATAAATAGTTTCTTTAAAATTGCAACTTTAGAATCAACCTAGACAAAGCCCAGGAAAAGTTCATCACGGTTGTAGAACAGTATATATTACCAATGTTCATCACGGTTGTAGAACAGTATATATTACCAATGTGGACAATTGTAAAAGAAAAAGCCCAGATGGGAAAAGCAGGGCTAAGGAGTGGTAGTTGGGAAAACGAGATAAAGAGAACAGGGGATGCTAAGACACCCATCTTACAAAGTATGAAATCAAGAGTAATATCTACAGTTGACAGAGCAAGACCTAAAACCATTATTTAACAACACAAGTGCAACCCATCCAGTGACTTAAAACAGTGATAGAATGATTCCAGTAGGATAAGGGTAATGGCAAGTAAGGTGTGGTATAAGTCAAATAAATCCTCATCTCCCAAGTTAATGAACATTGTCTAACAAGATAAACAACTAAGCCTGGAAAATAGGAAATAGAAATGACTACTAGAAAAAATAAAGTATTGAGAAACTGAATCTGTACTATCTAAATTTTTAATAATCTGCATACATTACTTTGATAAAAATGTAACAATTTTTAAAAAGTATTTCTATATACTTTCTTTAGTAATCAGACCAACCTGATTTCTCTTGTTCTCCAGCAGTGAAGTCTCATAGAGCTGAGCATTATGAAGAACAATACCACAAAATGCCAAATAAGCAGCAAAGTCCTAAAAAACAGATAAGAGAATTGACAAATAAAAACTGTACATAAAACAGTCTAGTTACATTGCCTGAAATACAGGTCCCCAAATATTTACAGTTAGAAAGCCAAAAGAGTAGATGTTTGTTCTACATAAAATTAGGATGATATAAACCAAGTCTTAGCTAAAGGTGCTAGAATAGTCTCCTAAGGTATAAATTAGGTATAACTCAATAAGGAGAAAAAGGAGAGGAACTAAGATAAAGACCTCTTTATACCACTTGAAGTTACAATTTATTCTATGCAAAATTTGGTTTAGCCTCTCCATGATATTAAGACTTGGATCTACGATGAAACTATTATATAAATAGCTTGTAACTCATTACTGCAGCAAACAACAGCTTATGTACTCATTAAAAGAATATCCACAATAAAAGCATAAAGTTAAATATTATATAAGGTTGCAAACATTACTTTAAATACGTCATTTTTAACATGGATTTATCATTGTTATACTATACTAGGGTAATATGTTTACAATTATATGAATTACTGATATAAATAAATATTTAGACAGTATACCTTATCCACAATGTGATAGAGCCTTAAAAATTCAAATCAACTCAAGAGGGAGTTAAATTAATGGATTGTAAACATAATAATGGAATATAAAGCCAATCCAGGAACCATGTTTTCACACCAAATATTCTCAAGTGCCATGAACAGAACAGGAGCCTAGATGTCTATTACTCTGATTTTTAAAAAGTATTTGCTATGTTCCAAAGCAATTATAACAAGGGGAGCAACACAGGTGCCAACATAGCCTATAGCATAGAGATAAAAATAACTGTCTTGTTTGAATGTTTTCCAAATTCAAAAGCTCCTACTAATTTTCAGGGGAACAACATAAACAGCAATGGGCTTGGGAACAGGAATAATTCAGTAGGCTATGATATACACATAATTACTTATTCAATAGGAGAAATAATGAAACCTACTCATAGAATGAATTTATCAACAGTTTTAAGGGCTTTTGTCCTTAAATGGAAAGCATGTCAATGAGGTGTGTGGAAGGTATTCCTTCAGAGTTGAACGAGAAGAAGAATAAAATAATGCTCACTGTTGCTCTCTCTGAAGCTAAATTTACATCATCTATCCTGAATTCACACCTTGGTGCTCCACTGTCTGTGTGCAAGGCTTATAAAACATTCAGAAATTTGCTACACCAGGAGGCAATTCCAATTTTTAGCCAATCAAAAGTGCTGAACTTGTAGCAGTGTTTTTATGGCGTTTTACTCAAGGTTGGATCCCTATAGCAGTGATGAAAGGTAAATGAGATAGTTAAAATGCCACAAGTCACCCTCTGTGTGGCCCCAACATGCCCAGTGCAGGCTTGGCAGCACAGCAAGGAGGGAATTTGGGGGTTTCTGCTGACTGAATAACACAAGTACTCAGATGTGAAATCATCGCTCTGTTTAACCTAAGATACACTTTTGAACCTTTCAGATCGTTTTTAACTCTAATCTTTTTGTGTGACCAACAATTTCAGCAACAGCTAATCCTAGAGGTGTATATACTACAAAGAAAAAGCATCTTCCTAAATTGGCTCATGCCTGACACAAGTTTTGGTACCTTTTCATCTTTTTCAGTAAATGTCCCACCGTTTCCTGATTTCTTGTTGATGGCCTGGGCTACACCAACAACCTGGCATAAGGAGATAAAAGTGACAAATTTTTTATTGGCTGAAATTACTGGTAAAAATTCACCAAAATGTATTTATAGAAGATATCCTGCATGTGCTGTAAAATAACACTAGTCTACAAAAGCAAAACCCCTCATCAGCATTTGAGCAAGCTTTACATCATTTACCATAGTCTTTCATCCTAATAAGAATTCGAACATTTTTAATTTATTAGGGCCCACACTATGTTTGATTCTGTGATTTCACCCTGTATTTTGAATGAAATTATTTTAGCAATCACATTTTAAGTATATATTTTCCATAGTTTTAACATATAAATAATAAATTTTGATTACAGTTCCAATAAAGTATATAAGAAAATGAACATTTTATATGGGTTTTAAATATAATGTTTCAAAAGGGCTAAAATGCTCTTTTACTAAAAATGAAACAGGACCTACTGGCCAATCATGGAAAGAATGCAGGAGGATCATTAGGGCAAAAATAATTCTTAATGTAAGGATGTAGTCCAACTTCTTTTGAAATTTCTGCCCTTGAAAATTATTTTACCTTTAATAGACCTATTTTTGGGAAAGAGGGTACTGAAAAATCAAAACAGGAATTAACATGCTGAGGCTTATTTCAGATAGATGAGAAGGCATTTGGAAGTTACTTACCTTTTAGTTCCACTTTCATTTTGAGTTATTACCTTAGTCTTATAAAGACCTTCAACTTACTCTTCTCTCCGCTTTATTACTTTTAAATTCTACTCTTTCCTTTCTTCTGCTATTTAGTATCAGTGGAATAAGTTATTATCTTCTAACTGGCTATACTTCAGAAATATGTATCTTTAGTTCTATGTGGATGGTTCACTTTGTTTTCTCAGCTCACTATAGTATCTTAGCTTTAAGAAAAAGATATAAAATCCTCCTCTAGGATAGCAGAATAAGAAAGGGGAAATACCTTATTGTCTTACGTAGTTTTCTAGTCTTCTTAACATTTTTCTCTTTTTTTTTTTTTGCCCATATGGTAAAGGGATATTAATTGTTTTTAAAAGCAGAATCATGCAATTATCCTATACTTTTTTATTTCCTTTAGAGCAACTCTCTCTTATTTTTACATACTCTTTAGCTCTTGAAAACAGCAGCAGATTTCCAGATGTTCTAACCTCACTGACTAAATTTCTAGTAAAATTCCTCTAAGGTCAAAAATGTCTGGATTGTAGTTAGGAATGTTCACTGGAACTATAATAAGAGCCACTTGAAGTTCACTGGGGTCTAATATAGAGTAGTATAATTTGGTTATTTTAAGTGCTCAGATATTCATTCATCCACTCAACAAATACTAAAGTGCCTATTATGTACCAAAAAGTAATAAAAAACTGGGGAAGTGATTACTCTGAAGGAGTTAAGAATCAAGAATGAGTGATACATAAACATAGACTTATAGCATAGTAGGATGGTGGGATCAGTTTCATGAAACAGTGTCCGTGGATCGCTAGGAGCGCTGAAGGGGCACTTAATGTGGGTAAAAGAGAAGGAGTCTCAGAAATGACATTTAAATTTTTTTTCTCTAATAAATAGTTTTACAAAGGAAAGACATAAACTTTAAATCTGTGTTTTAAGAAAGATGAGTTTCAAACAGATATAGCAAGTATTATGCAAAGTTTCTGATAAATATGTAGTACAAAAAGTATATATTGATATGCTATCTGTACCTGGAACTGTATGAAGCAATGTACTAAGCAAGAAAATAGAGAGAAAGCTCCTGCTCACTCGAAAATGTAAAAAGACAAAAAATCACCTGCTTATTAAATGATCACTAATCAAACTATATTAACATTTTAGTCCATCATCATATCAACATAAATTTACAGTGAGATGATGATTCCTTTCAGTCTTTTTTTTTTTCTTTTTGAGACAGGGTCTTGCTGTGTTGCCCAGGCTGGAGTGCCGTGGCACAATCACAGCTCACTGCAGCCTTGATCTTCCAGGCTGAGGCTACTCTCCCACCTCAGCTTCCAAGCGGTGGGACTACATGGAAGGCATGTGCGTGCCTGGTTAAATTTTTAAAATTTTTTTGTAGAGACGAGGTTTCAGTATGATCAGGCTGGTCCCAAACTCCTGCGCTCAAGCAATTCTTCCGCTTTGGCCTCCCAAAGTGCTGGGATTACAAACATACAGTAAGATAGAAGAAATAAATTCAATGATTTATAGCATAGGAAGGTGACTATACTTAACAAAAATGTATTGTATTGGGGTGACAGACATTAGAAATACCCTCATTTGATCACTATGCATTATATACATGTACTAAAGTTTCACATATACCCTGTAAATTTGTACTAATAAATAAATAAGTAATAAATATTAAGAAAAACAAACCAAGTTCTGTCAAAAGACTATTAGCCCAGGAAAATATAGTTGGTCCTTTGTATTCAACTGTGATAGGAAATATTTGACAAAAAAATTTTACAACCCACAGCAACAAAAGTAACATCAAATAAATATAGTAGGACAATTATATACAGAGCACTCACATTATATTAGGTAGTATAAGTAATCTAGGGGTTTGCTCAGAGCAGGGGGCTGAAGAATGGCTCCTCTGTTTACAACACATGGAACAGGCATCTGGGGTCACTGTGACAAGGGACACAAAACTTGTGGCTCCCTAAGAACAAATGTCTTACATGTGTAACAAAACCAGTAATCCAGAGATGATTTATAGTGTATGAGAGGATGTGCGTAGGTTTTATGCAAATATTATGCCATTTTATATAAGGGACTTGGGCATCCACAGATTTCGGTATGAGGGGATGGAGTGGAGTCCTCAAATCAATCCCACTTTGTATACTGAGGGACAACTATGTATCTAATATATATATGTGCCTCCATCCCCAGAAGGGTGACATCTGAAAAACGACACTAACAAAAACAGATAAAAAATAGAATAAAAGGCATAGTGTTTGTCCAGGGTTGCATACACAGTAAAAGACAAATGACAGTTTAATTCTCTGACTTTAAGGATCCTGGGCAAAACTAGCACCCTCTGCCCTCATGTTCATATAAAGTCAGTCCTTCTTTCCGCTGTCATCCATTGCTTCTTTAAACAAATTAGATCATTGTCTTTAAATCAAGTAACTGCTAACTATAGGCTTTGAAATGTCCATTTTTAATGACAGCTTTTATTCTAAGTATATGTCAGACTCCATATGAGCGGCAGCACCCCTAAAAGCATTAGCTTCCATATCAGAATGTCCATTCACTTTTGCCTACCTGCTGGCTAACTGTACTCTCAGATACAGGTACTGCATGCTATTTTCGTAAAAGCGCAAAAAAGTCTTTCTGTTTTCTATTTTACTGGCACGATGCACAGCACAAATGGATGTTATGTCCTCAAAGGGTTGAGTGTTCTTTCAGGAATGCAAAGGCCAAGACTTGACTCTCACTGGGTGAGCAGTGTGGAATGTGACAGCTGGTTGTTTCAGGGCAACTGATCATTGTCACAGTGAGCAATTTCTTCTTCAATAAGCAGCTGCCCCAGACATTTTCTGAGGCCGTACATCAATCCCAATACATTTCCCCATCTCCAGTTCAGGGGATGCTCAGCATGGAAACTAAAAGCAAAGGAGGAAAGGACAGACTACAAATCATAGCTATCCCTCTCTCTCAGCCTCAGAAGATCTCCATTGCAATGACAGGACTCAAGACAGTCTAATCTGAGCCAAATACAAACTTTACTAAGAAAACTAGAACTTAACAATATAAAGAGGAGTTAGGGGAGAATTTTCCCTAGTGTTCTTTTCAAACCTTTCTTTGACTCATTTATTCATTCTGCCATAAATACTTTATTCAGTAACTACTAAGTGCCTTTATGTACCAGTAGTGAAGAAAACAGATGAAAATTCCTGTCCTCATGGAGGTGACATTCTAATCAGTGTTAGGCTTGGGAATCCCACCCGCCATACCCTCTCCTCACCTGCTTTACAGATGAGAAAACTGAGAGTGAGAGAGTTGACACAACAGATCCAGGCTTTCTGACTTCTCTTCTGAATCCTAAGGAATCATCAAGTTACAGTACTATCCCATGTGGTAGGCAAAATAATGGCCCCCAAAGATGTCCCTGTCCTAATCTCTGGAATCTATGAATATGTGACCCTTAAATGACAAACGGAGCTTTTGACATGTGATAAAGTTAAAGATCTGGAGATGGGGAGATTATCCTGAATTATCTAGGTGGGCCCAATGTTATGACAAGGTCCTTGTAATGAAAAATGGAATGCAGGAGAGGCAGAGTCAAGGAAACATTTGATGATGCTATTATGCAGGTTTTGAAGACACAGGAAGAGGCCATGAGCAAAGGGGTACAGGCTATGGAAGCTAGAAGGGGCAAGAGAACAGGTCCGTTTCTAGAGACTCCACACAGAAACACACCCCTGTAGATGCCCTGATTTTAGCCCACTGAGAATTATTTAGACTCTGAAGTCCAAAGCTTCAAATAAAATATGTGTGCTATTTTAAGTCACTAAATTTCTGGTAGTTTTTTTTACAGCAGCATTAAGAAACCAATACATTCCATCCAATTATGATTCCGATATTCTTGCATTCTTTTTCTTCTTCTCCACACCTCATTTTATCTCTTCTATTTCACTACGTAAATCCTCACTGTCTTTGAAGAACATGACATCTCGTTCCTAATCATCTTCCTGCCTTCAGTCTATCTTTGACACTTCAGCCAAATTTATATTCTTGGGGCACTGTTGTGCATACACAGATCACCTCATTTCTCAAAAATTTTAATAGTTTCACCCATCTACAGAATAAAAATTAAAGACTCTACCTAACATTCCACAACCTCAACTTAACTAGATCACGTACATGGGTCTTTGGATTAGAATACTGCCATGTCATTTGTTCACATAATTCCTTGAAATATCACCTTCCACCTTCTCTACTGAGGCCAAATCTCCAAAAAATCTTCCCTTCAAACCTACCCCTCGAAACTCTGTGTGGCAGTTGTATAT